ATTCATACATACATAGGTATGTGTATCCATTATAGTTACTGGGAAAATTTGTATCCACATAGGTAGATATGTATGTATGTTTCAATGGAAAAGCGAAAGGGTTATGATTTGCGATTGTTGATGCAGGCAGATTTTGTTTCTATATAGTACCTGGCATAACAAACTGTGCTTGGTCTATGTTGCAAAGCGCTTGTCTATTAAACGAGTATATACTTAACTACGAGTAATGTGCATTTGCTACACTGCATCGACCATTTGCGCATTCGACACTGGAAAACCCTAAGATTCTTCAGAGATTTCGGTATGAATGAAATCCATTAGAAATTTCCATATCTATTGTGCCGCGAATGCGCCATACGAATTCCCGCATCTCTTGGAAATTCTGCGAAGTCTATTTATTTTGCCACTTACAGCTGGTTGGGAATTTCAGGCAACCAGCTCGTTTTGTTTTTAATTTGCGCGATCGTTGAGGTATTTAGCTGGATATTTCACTACCTATTTTTATTATTATTTTAAATACCAAAGCATCTTCTGCAATCAGCGAGATTTTATGTGAACGGTGCATTTAATAATATGTTTTCGTCGTCTTCTTATACATATGTCTTGTCGATTTCAGCTGGAAGCAGAAGCTTGGCGAATTGCTCCTCTTCTTTTGCGAAGTTACATTGGTTTTTCGTACCAAGTGTTTACAGGCCCGTACTACACGAGCGCCGTCCACCCATGAATGGGTGACGAGTGCGAGAATATTTTCGCCGAGGCGACCTGTCCAAGCCAGCGCAATCGTTCTATTTTAATGGTTTTAACTATTTCCATGTCGTTAAAAGCGCTTACAGTTTGTTATTCCATTATCTTCGGTGCCGCCCACTCGGACGGGATCATAGATATTGCATAGGATAGTTCTCTCGAAAGCTTCCAAAGCCGTCTCATCTATGTTTGACATCGACCACGTTTCTGCGCCATACATATACGTAAAACGGCGGGCATGATGAGATATTTGTAGTGCGTGATATTTGTTCGCCGATAGAGGTATCTGCTTTTCAATTGCCTACCGAGCCCAAATATATATATTTTGGCAAGTGTTATCTATCGCAGTTTATTCTCTTGGCTGATATAGATGTGATATTTATCGCCATATTGGGTCCGTCATTTTGAATTTTTTTAAACCTGACCTCAGTTTTAAGCGATCCATACCATTGACCGCCATACTGGATTCGCTTTCCGTTCATCGCTATGTTTGGCACGTTTCCGGTCGTTATTTAAGCATCATACAAAAAAAATGTTCGTACAAAAGCTGTAGAGAATGGCATTTAAATATGCTACGTATTTTTAACCGTGACAATGTAAAAAATTTTCGCAGTTTTTGCCAATTATTCACAACAAAAAATACTTTTTTTAAGCTTCTGTATAAAAAATGTGGGAAATTAAATTCTCTACAAATTTGTATTCAAGCATTTTTTACGAAAAATGCTAAATAAGATTGCAAATCACAAAAAAAAAATAAAATCCAAGATGGTGGAATGTTGATTTATGAAATTTAGGGGAAATACTGTGCATTAGGGTGGTCCAAAAATCCATGTGGGGAAAAAGTAAAGTCGGAATTTGTATGATCTCACCCATTAAGATTGTTCTATACCAAAAGAAATATACCCCTGTTTCTTGTTTTGAAATTAAAAAGTAAAAAACAAATTAAAAAGGAAAAAACAACTTTTCGTAGAAATGGTATGGAATTATTGAAAATCAATATTTTTCGATCGGAAAACTCTGTTACTCTTCTGGAGATTCCCAATAATAATAACCAATTATTCATTTGACAATTTTTTCAATTTAACTATATTTTATAGCGCCGTCAAAACTCCCAGAAAATGCAATAGTGGGATAAATAAAGAATCTTTAGTATTAAAAAATGGTTAAAAAAATCAATGGGTATTGTTATCGGAATTCTCCTGAAGACAACCAGAGTTGTCCGATCGAAAAGTATTGATTTTCAAGAATTCCATACCATTTCTACGAAAAGTAGGTTTTTCTTTATATAAAATACATGGACAAGTTTGGGTGACCTCTAAAAATTTTTTGATTTCAAAATAAAAATAGGGGCATATTTTTGTCGGCATATTCCGACTTTCTTTTTTTACCACCCTACTGTGCATCCATTATCTACATGTCAAATAGAAGTAAACTGAACTGAAGTGATAAAAGTTTGAGGAATTTAATGACTATTTTTTTAACGTAATAACAAAAATATTTTTTAATGCTCAAGTTTGCCATAACAGTTTTTGCCATTTAATGCCTAATGGAAGGAAATACAGCTTAAGACTACAGACTAAAAACTTAAATATCAAAATAAGTATATAAAAAAATATATTGTGTAATTAATCACTTCTCAACTTTGTGAAAATACCCTAAAGGAGAAATGCATTTAGCAAAGTGGTTTTGATATTTTGCTTCTTGAAGCCAAAAAAAAATAGCGATACAATGTCTACGCAAAAGTTCACAAACCTACGTCTTAACCAGGAAGAAAATTTATTAATTAAGATTTAGTAATTTGATTTCTTTTTTATTAACTTTTAAACAGCGAGCAGAGCGCTTTAGACAACTTGTTTATTGTAAAACTATTCAAGTGACTATATATTTACAATACCATTTTCTTCAATTCATTGCCCTCTCTCTTAGGTGGTTTAAATAACATTTTGCTTAAGTTGATGTTGTAATGTTGCTGATGGCCATGTATGACACTATCCATAATTTTATGGTAATTGTGAAATTACATTTTTGTTTAATTTTGTTGGACTTAAGTTGACCAACTTGGCTATCGCCAATTAAAGCCTGTCTTGATCGCTTATCACCCATACATATTTATGTATGTGCATACATATGTATCTCTGCAGGTTTGAATGTATGTACATATGTATGTAGGCCTGTCTGTTATTTTTTTTTAATTGCTAAGTAAACTAAGCTGTCAAATATTTTTCGAAATTGCAATTTACCTTCCGTTGTACAAAACATGTTAATACTGTTTCCTTATTTTCTATTAACTATGCCTTTGATTTTCAAATCGCCAATCCACCCCCCGCCCCCTTTGTTTGAACTCGCTTGAGTTGATATTTATAGAGTGTCTTTAATGCACTTGGATACAATTATTTACATACAATGTCAATCGGAAATATTTAGGCAGCATTTCCCATTGCTTCTTTCTTACAGACGAGTAAAAATCTTGTTACTAGATATGGACATATGAGACGTTTATTTCGAAAGTGGCAAAAGTCCCTTTGTTTTTAAATCGAGATATGTAAAGGTTTTGCGTTTTAACACGTTTAAAAATATTGATGCTAACTCTTAAGGTAAAGGGACTTATGCCACTTTAAAAAAAAAATAGTTTTGAAAAATTACTGACCTCTTTCAATTTTTTCCGATGTATTTTACTGAAGTGATGTATAAAATTACTGAATAAGTTACATATATAATAATAATAATTTATACCATGTATTTAATAGAAAGGTGTATTCAATTAAATTATAACACCAGCAACAAAAACATAGAAAAATTAAAAACACAGTCAACACACACGAAACTGGGGGCTAAATATAATAAAACGGCATTTTTTTTTTAAATATCTTCGGAATTTCAAACACATGATTAGTTCCAAAACTTATTAAAAAATTCAATGCAATCTAAAATACAAATATGGAAACCAAATGAATAAGAAACTTCTGAAGAATTTAAAATAATTAAAATTTGTTGGATCACAAAGACGAGTAGGTATTTATTTTAAGCTAATAAACTTAGAAATTCGAGGAAGGGATCGTAAGTATGTATGTTTATTAGTCCTTAACATAATTTTTTTCAAAAATAATCATTACAAAATTTCAAAGATATTCAAGGATAATATTTAGAAAGGATATTATCAACACCTGCTCGTCCTTATGCATCAAAAAATTTAATCTGCTTACCCATACTGTTTTTCTACATTGGAGAAATTTTTTTTTTGATGATTTTGCGAATATATTGATTTTTTGTGTATAAATTGACTGCTGCATGGTGTTATGAAACGATAAAACGAATCGATAACAGAACCGATAGTTAGGTCGATAACAATATTGATCACCATATTTGCAATTTACACATACATAATATGTACATATATTATGTATAGTTCATACATAGATAACTAAAGCAATGTCGATAATGGTAAAAGTTATCGAAACCAAACTGATAAAGACAAACAGTATCGACAACAATTATGCTTTGATTCGAAAGCCCCAAGTCTCCACGTTTAGGTGGCGTTGGGGTTTAGATTCGTCACCAACAACGTCCGATGGAAACTTTCAACAAGGCGCGGCTAGGTCCTAGAAAGGCCAATATTTTTTTCTACACTGAGAAAAATAAAATAAACCATATCGTCTTTCTTTCAAACAAAAGCTGAATGATGATTTTGCTGAAAAAAAAGCTGAAAATGATTTTGCGCCAAACAAGTTTTTTTTTACATTGAACAGACTTACTTTTGGAGATTTTTTCATTTGAACACGATTTCGCTGTGCACTTCACAGATGCTTTATCGTAATTAAGAAAACCCAAAAATAAAATGTTAAAATTATATGTTCCGCTCACTGAGGTGTGAACTTGGACACTCAAGTAAGTGTGCTTTCAAACGCGACTGATACATTTTGTTTGTATTTGCTATTTATAAAGTGGCGTTGTTTGGAAATTTTTTATTGGGCCGCACTCATTCTCTATAAAAAATTCTAGACAACACCTTGCTGTGATCGATCAAACAAACTTATGTTTACTAATATTTGATTAAACATTTTAAATTGCAAACCACTAAACTTCAAAAATCACAATTGCCACATGCATACACATACATATCTATTTTATATTTTACATGCGTTTTAATTGACTTTTTTAAGTATTTTGTGTAATAAAAGCGTTCTTTGTTATCAAATACTTAAATTCGCATTAATTTTCGCTGCCATTAAACTTGTTCTATGTTTTCTTTTTTGCAGATCAAAATCGTGGTATTGGCAGTGCGTCTAGCAAAAATGCCAAACACACAGATACGCCAACGGAATTGCATGAAATCAACCACAATAACAATAACAGCATCACAACCACAACAATTACAAATGGTACAACAACAACCGCAACAACGCGCACAAATTCACAAACCCCATCGCCAATCTTAGGACACCATGGCAAGAAGACGACAACGGCGGCGACAGCTGCCGCCACCAATGCTACGGTGGGTGGAACGTTGCTGGAAAAGGTGAGTAGAAAGGTGATTCTTAGGAAAATTATCCATTATCCATGGCTTCTTACAATGTTCCTTTTCTGCACATAGAAAACACAATCGAAGCTGCTGGCGACCCGTGGAAAAACGCTGCTACAAAAATCACATCAGCAACAACGCTCCGCGGAGGATGCACCTGCTGCTGCGAATGGCGGAGTTGCCGAGCGGCTAGACGCTATTGAACTGCAGCGGTTGAAATATCTGAATCGCCATTCATGTAATGGTCGACTGGACTATGAGGCTATTGAACGGCACCTGGAACAGACGGAATTGCAGGAAGAGCAGCGAAACAAAAGCATTGAAGCGCTGGGCGTGTTGCTGCAGTATGCGGTGTTTGATGTAAGTACGCGATGATAGTACATACGGCGTACATATGTATGTATGTGTGTGTGGGTTGGTATTTTTGGTAAACTCAAAGAAAAACCAAACAAAACTACTATTAAATACGTATTTGTACGTCTGTGTGTAAGTAAGCGAATGTCCTTTGAAAAGTTCGCGTTAATTTACTACTTCGAAAGGTAATTTTTTCGCTTTAAAAGAACAATGTTATTTACGACTAGTCTAACACACATAAATCAAGGTTCGGTGACAAAAGCACGTTTCAGACGGACAAATATGCAGACGTGCATTAAAACATGAAAATTCAGGAATATTCGCGCATCACGAATTTTCAAGATTCACAGCTGAATGCATTGCAGTGCAGGTACAAACGAAGGTAGTTAATTATTTTTGCCTGTATGCAAAAAAAAAAAGTAAGACAGAGGTAATTTTGTGACGTTCGATGGATGGCCAGATGGCTGGCGCCAGACAAAATTAATGCAAATTAAAGCAGTTTTGCAGACTATATTAGTTAGAATGGTAGAATAATTATTTGGCTAAATAGCTGGAATATCTGTGAGTATCTTAATGGTTTTTCCACAAATCATGCCACAGCATAATGAGTTAGCATACATAAATTTGTATGTACATATGTAGGTACGTACGTACATACATGCATACATGTTTCAATTATTGCTAATGAACGAGCAGTATTTCAAAGCGAGTTTCAGGCTAACGTTAATCTGGAATCTGTAACTGAGCTTTAAGTGTAGTGTCATATATGAACGAGTCGAGCAAATGAAAGGTTAGAAGGCAAACCTACGTTGCTAGCAGTAACTTGCTACACTACACATATGTACATAAATCAGCAACAAAACCGATTACTGCCTGCTAAAGCTCGCCTTCAACAAAAATTGTTGAGACTCAAGTAGTTCGGGATCTGAAGACTATTTATATCTATGTATGTACATTGACGGATCCAACACAAAGTTATCAACGGCGTCTGTGTTGAGGCATTTGACATGCCAAGCAACCGTATCATTGTAAAGGCTGGTACATATGCGGCTCTCAAGAAAACGGCCAAGAAAAAAAATGCCATTATTTCGTGTGTGTGTGTCCGAGAAATTTTGTCATCTGATACTTCACAGCCTGTTGCCTTTCCTCAAGAAATAATGGAACGGGCATATATTTCTGTTGCAAACATGGGTTGCCTTGTGCTCTTTTTCTCGCTTTAAAAAAACTTTAGAAACCCCTAGTAGAAGACGTAGCGAATTTCTTAAGACCGGCGTCATTTTATAGGTATGGAGTTTTTACTTTTCTTGAGAGCTGCATACTGGCCATAATGTCTTTCCGGTCGAAGTAGCGACGATGTGTACAAGAAGCACTACCTATGGATATAACAAAAAAGATTAAGAAATTTACACCAAATTAAACCAGCTGCCTTAGAGGCACTTGATGCCATCCTAATTAAATCCCGGCTGGAATTGGTTAAAGCTCAAACAGACGGCAGCGTTAATCCGGATTAACATAATCTGCGGCAGCGTTAATCCGGATTAACGCTGCCGTCTGTTTGAGCTTTTAGATAGTCTCCTGATCAGCACGTTAAACCATGGAAAAAAAATTTCAGAAAAAAATATCATAATTAGGGCTGCCAAAAATATATATAAATTAACCAAATATGCCCTTAAATATGCTAAATCATTGGACTTTTATTTAATTTTTTTTATGCACTCATTTCGGAAATAGAGTATAAAATTACATGCTTATTAAATAACACCGGCCAACAGAATTAAAAAAAAATGTTTACGGCACGGAAAGTGAACCCTGCTTCTTGTATGATTTTTTCCGTAGAGTCAGAATCTGAAATTAGAAATATTAGATTGGCTCCAGTTCTTGTGATATTTTGACTAAGTGGCAAAATACTAATTTTTGGCATTTGCTAGACTTCTACAATGGACTAACGGGTACTGGTAGAATATTTTGAATAAGAAGTAAATAAAGCTAAACATTGCTCTTTTAGCACAAGAGGTAATGATTTGACTTTTATAAACATGAGTTAAAAAAACTAAGTTAAAACAAATATACTTACACAGCGAGTAGTTATAACAAGACATTTTCTTAGTTATTTAAAAAATTTTTAAGTAGAATTATGCGGAAATATTTGACCTTTTGCTTAAATGTGCATTTTAAAAACCTTTTCAAAAATAAATACTACCATAAAGTCTTTTATTCTTCGGGATAAAAGAACAGGGTTAAAGCTTTATTAAAAATATTCCATAATGCACTGTGTTTAGAATATATCGGTTCAAAGTATGCTAATAAGTAACTCGTTTTTTTTTTTGACACCTTTAAGTCAAAATATCTCAAAAACTACAGCCAATCTGAAATTTCTAAGGTCAGAATCTGATATTGCGAACAAAAATTTATAGAATCAGCTGTTATTGACTCTGCCGCAAAATTTTTGTGGCCAGTCTTATCAATCGAAAAATACCATATAAAGTTATTGAATAATTCTAAAAAACTACTTTCCCTATCTGTAAACTTAAATAGTTGGATAACATTTAAATAAACTTATTCTGCGAGGGAGTACTTTGACAGATAATCGCTCCTAGTTACGAAGATAGTTAACAACAGCGTGCAACAAAAACCAAAAAATTTCAAAACACACGAAACAATCAATTGACTCATAAAAATATTGGCCAAATTAATTTTTTTCTCTCTGATGTAAGGATTTTTTAAAAGAACTTTGAAATTTCAAAGATACGATTAATTTAAAAAGTTGTTAAAAAAGTTAGTGCAATTCTATATTGGACAGTATCGGTACCATTGTAGGCGGCCGCTGTGGGTTAGAAGTGCGCAGAACCATTCTGCTGGGCCCGGGCCCATTTTCCGAAAAACATCAAAAAAAAAGGCAACCCTGCGAATGTATTTCTGCCTTGAAAATAATACGGTATTCACATGAGGCGATTTTACAGGCAACTTTTAGTTGAAATCGAAAATCGCCTGGTGTGAACGGCCTTTTAACTAATCACTTCCAATGAAGTTCGGGGGCAGCCAATACAAGCAACCAAAATAGCAACTAAGCCTGCACCTCGTCCTAATAACTATTTGGCTATGGAAATAAAGGATTCAGTTTACTATCTGTCAAAAATAAAATGACTTAGACAGTTTTGAACTTCAAATGATCCTACATATTTTATTCGCATAATTCCATTTCTACAGTCAATGGAAACATCCACTTTCACACATTAAACTGATTTTTATCTAGATTTCCATACATATGTATATACATGTCTTTCGGTAAATATCATTTACATATCTGGGATACACCGATAGCGATAAGTCTTTACATACATACTACGCAAAAATAAAAATCTTTCTGCAGCAGAGGAAAAACTTTTCCTTTTTT